TATATATCTGGTTCTATATAATTGTTGTCATATAGAACCATATATATATCTGGTTCTATATAATTGTTGTCATATAGAACCATATATATATATATTATCCCGAAAACGGATCATTATGAAACAGTTCATTATTCTCAATAATTAAGAATTAATTGAAACTCTTAATAACAAAAAATTATACTGATGTCAATTCCAAAATTAAAAAAGAAAGTAGGTATCAGATTAAGGAAACAAAAACAACCTACAGCTCACATTAAAAGGAATACTATAATAATGATCCCAAGTACAAGTTTAATACATGTATGATTTACAGTCTATTGAAGGAAATTAGTTGATAAATACAAAAATATCCATGTCAACAGCAAGTTATCAAAAATATAAATACTGAAGGTGAACAAAGCAAAATTTATTAAAAATGAAATAGGAAAAGACATTATTAAAGGAAAACGTAATATTATTAATGTTGTGAAGTAACCAAATGTTTACTAATAATATATACAAATTAAGAAAACAATGGTTTATCATGCATTTAAAAAGGTCATCCTTTATAACGGGTATATGAAAGATATATAATCAAAGCAATGAACTTATTGCAGTTGTACTAAAATCTAATTAACAGCTTACGAAAATTTCACTCTCGAGCTGGGCAATTAATGGAATTTGCCAATCATTTAATCATTGGTCTCGACTTATACACAATATGGCTAAAAAAATAAAAAAACAACTTACGATACTAAAAAATCAAGTTTTAATACTCACAGTGGGTGAAACATAAATAATCCATTTTACGGCTTTGTGTTTGACAACAAACAAACATAATGACAGTATTTCAATTACTTACAATATAATGGTTACAATATAATTACTTACAATATAATAGTTACAATATAATTACTTACAATATAATAGTTACAATATAATTACTTACAATATAATAGTTACAATATAATTACTTACAATATAATAGTTACAATATAATTACTAACAATATAATAGTTACAATATAATTACTAACAATATAATAGTTACAATATAATTAGTTACAATATAATTACTAACAATATAATAGTTACAATATAATTACTTACAATATAATAGTTACAATATAATTACTTACAATATAATAGCTACAATATAATTACTTACACAGTAGGAATATGACAATGAATAGTAATTTTGATGATTTTCTTGAGTCATGATGCTAGTTGAACAAGCTGAACAAATTTTAATTCAACAAAAATAATCATCAAAATCACTAGATACTTGAAATACTCAAAAACAGTAATTTGGATTAACTTGTCATTTTAAATGACACCAACTGACGTACTCAATGCTTGTAGGTCATCAATTAATCAAGTTAATTGCCCAACACTAGTTTACTAGCTTCCTTTAAGTTATCAATATTTTCTACTGTTCATTTCCACTTGACATAAGGCCGGTTTATAAACACACAATAAGATAAGATGACTAAACTTACGGAGATCTGGTAACTGTCGAAACTGGATTGCAAGATGATGGCTGGGTAAAAAGACCCAAGGTCGGACGAAGTGGTTTAGATGGCAAGAAATGCTGCTTCTGACTTAATGATGAATTATGTGAACTTGATGTGCTGATGTTCGGAGGATTTTGTACACAGCTTGAAGATTTAGTTGCTGAGGTCGACTGATGAACAGGTACTCGAACAAAACTTGGAGACTGTGAAACTACACCACCTGATTTAGCTTGAGGATTTTTCAACAAATTATTGATAACCATCTTAGGCAATAAGTTAGGAGGGTTCTGAGAAACTTGCCTGAACTCTCCAGCAGATCTAGGTTGCTGTTGCTAAAACAAATATTTTACAAGATTATACAATACCTGAATGCTACAGGTTGCTAAAGATAAGTGAAAAATGTTTAATACTAGAAGGTGCCCTCTAACTGAAACATTTGCTAAAGTGAGGACACTGGAATCAACATGTCTATAGTTATGACATAAAAAAAAAACACTCTCTCTAAAACCTGTTTTATAAATGTCTTAATCCTCAAAATCTTTATTTGAAATCCAATTTGTTTTATAATCCAGCTTCGTTAATAACAAGTGTTCCAAGTACGTGGATTATAATCCAGCGTCGTTAATAACAAGTGTTCCAAGTACGTGGATTATAATCCAGCGTCGTTAATAACAAGTGTTCCAAGTACGTGGATTATAATACAGAGTTGATATAGAAAATTAAAACTTTTTTGGACGGGGGGAACGATGATATACCTCACAGTGGAAAGACTTAACCAAGTTGCATGAAACTTAGAATAAGGTTATTAAATTGTATCTACTTCCAGCTTAAAATAATTCATATAATTTAAGTTAGTCTTTCTGTCGTTTTTAAATAGTGAAATTTTCAAACATTTTCCTTCCATCCTGGAATTTAGTATATTTAATTTGATCAGAAAGTTAACATTTTCCTAAATTGAAATTGTATCTCCAATAATGCTTACCTCCTCTCCCACTTACAGCTATTACTCGACTAACGGGGTTTCTTCTTTTGCCCATCTAAGCATTAGTACAATGATTATTACAAAAATCAACTAGGTAGCACGGATAACGTTCAAAGTATCTCCAAATGATTGTAACACTGGGAGACCCGTTAGTGACGCTTTGTCAAGAAAAGATTATGACGTTATCTGAATGAAGTACTTATATACAGTACAAGGACAGAGTGCATATTGACATAGGTGGAGAGTATCACGAGACAAATATTGCCAAGATCAAGTGGGTGGGGTATAAAAGACTGGAGCAAGCAAGAAAAAATCAGACCGATGCTTAGAAGAAACCCTAGTGGTTGAGTAACAGCGAGAAGTGTGAACGGAGGTATGTATGTTTCGGAAGTTTTATTTCATACGTTCAGTAAATTTCGTTTTGATTAATTTTCAGTTGTATATTTCTCTTTAGTCTTTATTTTCCTGATTGCCGTTGTCACCACTTCCAGCTGTAAAGTGCAAAAAAACACCAAATAACCTGACAAATATTTATCAGAAACCTAAGGCTTGACCTTTCAAAATAGCACCAGGACAAGCTAAGTAACAATATGTTTGTTAACAATATTACTGATCATAATCAGTTTATAGCTTATAAATATATATTCTTTTATTCATGCTCATTTGAATACAATAAACTGAAAAATTATATTCAATAAAAAAAGATTTGAGTTACATTATATAATAAACTAAAACAAAACACCACCACAACTAAACGTATCACTTATAAAAAAAAACAGTTAGTAAACTCATACCAGGGAAGGTACAAATATTAACAAGCAATACAAGATAATTCTCAATGTTATTTGTTTCAATAAATAAAGGAATTAGAAAAAGAACCAGAGGAAGACCAAAATACAATTAAACAACTTCTCAAGAGCAGTAACAATATCAAACAATAGTCAACAAAAATTATAACTACAACTAACTCTTTTCAAAATTAAAGAAGGCTTTTTGTTTAGTGGTTACACCATGAGATTACATCTTATGTGACTAGCTATTATCATAAATCCACACAAACTTTCACAACATTAATATCTGTACATCACCCCTAAAGAAAGCTTGTGTCAATTTCATAATAGATACATATAGAATGAAAATAATGTGTTCTAGCTTGAAGGTGAGTTAGTTTACCATAACAAATAATTCATAGTTCAACTAAATGATAGAAGGAATAATACATTATTTGTGGACAAAACTATAACAAAACAAAAGCAGAATACACTATCTCACAATTTGAGTCATCAGAATATTTTGCATCACTAAACATAATAAGGCTTACCTGATGCCTTTTTATAGAGGAAAACTACCATAACTTTCAATCAAATGTAATTTAACATGCAAATATTTCAGGAATATAAACATCTAAATAAACTATGAAAACATTTCAAATTCTGTGATTTTTTCTAAAGTTTTCTAAACTCTATTAAATTCCATTCTTTTCAAGCTGTTTTGTTATTTTCTACAAAACTATATATTACTTCTTACACTGACTTCTTAATCAACATTGACAATATACTCTAACCAATAGTATCTGAACTTTGCCTATTTTCAAAGCAGTGGTTCATATTAGTTAGTTTTCATATCACATGATCATAGAATGATGGGAATCCAAAGTGTACTAACAAACTCTGTAAGAAAGAAGGAAAATTACTTGAGAAGCAAAACATCAATAACTACATTCTCCGAGGGATTATTAAGTAAAAGTAAAGTTATTATTTGGGATACATAGTAAAATTAAAGAAATTAGTAAGTACTTTGTTTCCAAACAAGTCTCCTCTGAGCTGTACAGAAATATTTTTTTTTCTTTGTGAATTATGCTAAATACATGTTACAAAACATTTCTGAGTAAAAATTGGTGAACTAGTTAGAATCCACATTTTTACTTAAATGTTCAAAGTTGATAAGTAGGTGTGTACCAGTCTGTAAAGAGTTAAAATAAATACTTCATTTTACGAAGAAACACAAGTTGTTGTTTTTTATAATTTTGTTACTGTATAGATGGAAGTCATAATTAATATAAGGTCACATTGCAAGAAACATCCTAAGTGTACCATTTCAATAAATACTAAATTCAGGGTGGTTAGAAATTATTCATATAAATGTTTCGAGATTTCAAGAAATTAGTTTGCAGTGGAACTTTAGGCAAAGTATACATAGTAAGTTAAAGAACACCCATGGTTTGTTTATGATCTTCGTATAAAGCTATTCGAAGGCTATCCGTGCTAGTTGTTCCTCATTTTAAACTGACAGACTAGAGAAAAGGCTACTCTTTACCAACAAACAATTACAATGTCCCCGTGAATAAGAGAAGCGAGCATGTTTGGTGAATGGATTAAAACCCACAACTCACAGACTGTGAGTTGTGTACCCTAACCATCGAGGGAATCATGTTTCAACTTCTTGTTGCAGTCCATTAAAGATCTCTAACCTATGATTAACTCATCATTTCACAAAGAGACGAGCAATAATTAAGGATACAAGTAATGCATGAATTTTTTGTACCACAATTTAAAATAAGAAATTTTGTCTACATGCTTAATCAAATTGTGCATGTAAAAATGTTTTTGGGGATCAGAATATTAAAAATTAGGCTTTGTAGCATTGGTTTTTCATTGTGTCTTATTAGATAAATAACAGAAAAATTTTACATACAGAGGAAAATTCAAAACATACAGGATGAAAGAAGCTCAAACCAGGAGGACAACTAACATACAAGAAGTAGAAATATTTAAAACGTAAGCTTCCGTTACAGCATTTCTTAAGTTCTAGCTCTTCATATAATCTCTACTTAATATTTTAAAACTTAAATGTAGGGTTGATACTTACAACAGAGGATCCTGGTGTGATATTGGGCCGTGAAGGTTCCGAGCTTCTTGAGGGGAGCCTACCCCCTCCTACTGGTTTCTGGTCAACAACCAAGCTTCCAAGCCCACTAATATAATCACTGAAAAACTTTGTCTCATATAGGAACTTGATATCCACCAAATGATTAGGATTTGGAACCTCACAGCGTTGCGTAAGAACATATCGCAACTGCAAACCAGTTAAAACATAAAACTAAATATTTTACTTATAACTACATTGGTAGAAAATACAATTGTAGACAAAGTTGTACAAAAAAATGTGTGTATTTATGATGTGATTAAATATGTAAATCTTTATATAAAATGTGAAACTCTTACCACAATAAGTTGTTTATCTATATTAATACCTGACAATGCTCTCTCTCTCTCTCATACATTACATTTTTGTTTCTTAAGACAGTTTATATCTAAGAATGTTGAAATGAAGAACTGTACAAACATTACCTGTTCTACCAGAGTTTTCTTATTGTACAATAAGGCGAAACTACTTCCAAATTTGATAACAGTTTCTACGAAGTTCTCACAATATTGAAGTTTTTCTGATAACGCAACAAGTTGTTCATTCTTTACACTGAGCACTTGCTTCTTCTTATTGCAGGCATCACTCAATTCCTGGATAAGTAACTTTCCCCGCTGATTAATTTCTGTGATGAATCTGGAAGAGAATCATATAATATTACAAAACATGTTCCGATGGTACACAGAGATTTTCTTACTGTTCTTTTGTGGATCCTGTAATTAAGTATTTCTTCATTCAAGTGGCACTGTTGGCAAGAGACTTTACAAAATGTACACTTTGAAATTGTCTTGCTTCTCCATGACATAGTGCCACTTCATGGCATGAACATTATTGTAATTTGTCACTCTTCACTGCAACACTAAATAACATTTCACGATTCTTAAAAAAAACTTCAATTACGATAAGTAACTGATCAATGAACAGGACATTCAAAAACTTTGACTCGCATGTTTTGTTGACAAGTTGAGTTAAAACTACACAAAGGAAGGCTTTCAGTATTTTATAGGTATGACTGCCTGATTGAAAAGAAACGTTCACACAGACCTTGATAATTCACATCTACTAAGAATACAGCAAATTCTACAAATAAAGTTCCTCAAAGAGATCATCTCATACAAATCAACTGCTAAATACCCTAAAGTAGCATTTCTCAGCCTTTCCAATACCAGGGACCAGTTCACTGTCTCCCTAAGTTGTTCTAGACAACTAGAATGCAGTTACTAATTACAGGATCCACAAAAGTTAGTAATCATAACATTAATACAAGATGTATTTCCCCAGGATCAACGAAAGTTAGTAATCATAACATTAATACAAGACGTATTTCCCCAGGATCCACAAAAGTTAGTAATCATAACGTTAATACAAGATGTATTTCCCTAGGATCCACGAAAGTGTTCTGTTTCAAGAGTAAATAAAATCAAAATTAAGAATAACAAATATTTTTATTTCTTGCTTTTGAGGTTCAAATATCATGCAGTGTTGTAGCCTACATTGTGTATAATTCTTCTCATGATTCGTGGCATGTGTACATTTTACTGACCTTACGACTGTACAAATTGCAATGTTAAGCATTCTTTATGTGGCATCATTTTAGTGTCTACTGACTGACTGACACACAACACACTGGTGACCTCTCCATGTAGCCTTCAGCCCCCTTTCAGGGAAATATAATTATCAGTTTTTGGTACTCCTCGATGCAGGAAATACCACTACTTTAGTACACACTTAGTGAATTTCATTTGAAAAGTATTATAAAAATAAGCATATGTTAGAAATACAGCCAGGTATAAATTGATGCTGAAAAACACTCACCGAAGTAAAAACCTGAGGTGTAATTAGTGAAATTATGATCATGTTATAAAAACAACAACATAAAAACATTTAAATGAAAATTATTAAAACATGATCTATGAGCACAAACAGCTTATAAATTTATAAACTATTCAGTACATTTAATGAATTGAAGACGATTTATTAATAAAAGTTTAAATGTTAAAACTGGCCCTACCTTTTGAAATGGAACACAATATGTAATTTCTCTTTTTCTTAGGCCTATACACTTTATGTTTAAATAGTTTATAAGATATCTCAAAACAGAGTTCTATCACAGCCAACTGAAACCTGTTAGGTTAAAGTTTAGAAAATGCAGAATTATTTAATCTGAGAGGCTTAACATGTTTAATTTTTGCTACGAGTATTAACACCGCTCTAGAAAAAAACACATTTATTTTACTTATATTTTGTACAATGTAATAAGATACAGAATAGCTATACCCAATAACATGAAAGATATAAAACTCGTTACTTACCTGATTGCAAACATTTTAATCTCCTGTGTCACTTGAAGCTCTCGTTCCTTTACATCATTTTCTCTTTTCCAAATTAGTTCAATTGCTTTTTCAATGTATCTATGTTTTTCACGAATCTTCGATAGCAATGCATTAAGATAGGCTTTATGCTGTTCGTAGGCAGAGGCAAGAAATTGATATCTGTGATCCTTGTGTTCTATTAGCTGACAGTCTCGACACGTTAGCTTGTCACAAGACTCGCAATAAATTTTCACCTGTTCCTAAAATAATAATATATGGTCTTTACGATTTTTAATTTACGTTTCGATATTGTTTTGAATGTACACTTTCACGATTAAAATTTATTTACAACTACTGCATAACTTACAACCACCATAATCATAAGGAACAGAAATAATGTTTTGGAACATCGGCAACCTTACCTTTTGCAAATATCAGCATCCAAAACAATTAATATGTTATATATATATAACAATATAGTTATAAGGTTATTTAAAAATTAGTTATTTTCAAGTATTCCAAAATCAATGAAAATATCAAATATATATAGAAGTAGGATTAAAAAACTTGATAAATAAGAGTAACAAATAATTAAATTAAATGGAAGTTAACTATTCAAGTATAAACGAGAATAAAACAACTTTTAAACTAATGTACTTAATTATCTTTTATATTGATCAATCTCACATGTTGGTGATTCAACAGTTGTTTATAAAACAACAATCTTAAGGTGTAATCAAAAAGACCACTGCAGCTATTAAAGATTCTACAAGATTCTGATTATTAGGTGAACACTGCTCCCACAAGGGTTAATTAGCCAACAGCCCATACTCATAACATGCCAAATTTTTACTGTAAGTCATTTATAACACAAAGCTTCTATTCTGTGCATCTTCAATGAGGTATTGACAGGAGATTCACATTGACAGTTATACCAGGTATTGACAGGAGGATCACATTGGCAGCTATACCAGGTACTGACAGGAGGTTCACATTGGCAGCTATACCAGGTACTGACAGAAGGTTCACATTGGCAGCTATACCAGGTATTGACAGGACATTCACTTGGCAGCTATGCCAGGTATTGACAGGACGTTCACGTTGGCAGCTATGCCAGGTATTGACAGGACGTTCACGTTGGCAGCTATGCCAGGTACTGACAGGACGTTCACGTTGGCAGCTATGCCAGGTATTGACAGGGCATTCACGTTGGCAGCTATGCCAGGTATTGACAGGACATTCACTTTGGCAGCTATGCCAGGTACTGACAGGAGGTTCACATTGGCAGCTATACCAGGTACTGACAGGAGGTTCACATTGGCAGCTATACCAGGTATTGACAGAAGGTTCACGTTGACAGCTATACCAGGTATTGACAGGAGGTGCATGTTGGCAGCTATACCAGATATTGACAAGAGGTACACATTGGCAACTATACCAGGTATTGACAGGAGATGCACGTTGGCAGCTATACCTTTCTTCAGTGCACATGATCAAATAGCCCATGACTCAGGATGCAAAAGTTAAAAGTTGCATCCACTACTAATGAAACTGAAACAGCAGTAAAGCATTCCAGATGCAAAACATACCCACCCAAAAATGGATGTTTGGAGAGAGTAAAAATGAAATATATTTATGTCTGGAGTCTTAGTGTAGCTATGATATGCATCCTCAACATATACATAACTTCATTCTATCTGTACTGGTCTGTATTTTATATGTCAACAGGTCAAGAGGATGCAGCACTGAACATGTCAACAAGATGAGCAGGGTTATGATGATGGGGGTAAGACGAGCAGGGTTATGATGATGGGGGGTAAGACGAGCAGGGTTATGAGGATGAGGGTAAGAAGAGAAGGGTTATGAGGATGAGGGTAAGACAAGCAGGGTTATGAGGATGAGGGTAGGACAAGCAGGGTTATGAGGATGAGGGTAAGACGAGCAGGGTTATGAGGACGAGGGTAAGACGAGCAGGGTTATGAGAATGAGAGAATATTGTATGATCTAAGTTCAGTTAATGAATCGTAAATACCTGATAAGTCTGTGAGGAGATAGATAACAGTAATGGAGTGGCTGCTCTGCTACTACAATTAGCCAAAACATCGACATAGGCCTCTTGATCATTATTAGTTACTTGACCAGTAGTTAGTGCATTCAGTAGAATAACGTATCAGCAAATGAGAGTAAATTGTATTAGCAAGTGATATTTGGTAGCAAGACGTTTGTGTGATGCAAACCCTAAAACACTCCCTTGATGAACACACCTGAAGACATAAATTATGTTCTCGAACTCTGACAGTTGATCCTAAATGTTGATGATCACAGAAAACTTTTAAATACTAACAAACTGAAAGGACTTTACAATCATTGCTTTCTGAACACTCAGGTTTTTGTAGTGACTGTTGGCGGAAACTTCCCGAGTAATATTGTGTGTAAGTTGGCAAACCTTGTATTGTGTCATAGTTCAAGATCATACCTGCTGTGTGGTAAATTTAAACGAACCTTCTCAAGGTGTGGTGTGCTCTAATACAGTAAGAGAAATTGATGTGAATTATCAGAATGTTATGTTTAGGTACTCTTTGTGAGATTCTTGACTAAGTTATTTTTCATGGTTATTTTATTTTTAATAAAATACAACTTCCTACATGTCAGTTGTTTGGATGCCATAAAATTAATGTTCACTGGAATATTCTTCTGTTGCCTACGCTCTCTCGGTGTATGCTGAGAGTCATAGAGTCTTACATGATGTCTTATTATCATCATCATCATCATAGACAGCAGTACATCGATAATTCTACCGATGCTTAGCTGCCACACAATCATGAAT